TTATTTGATTTGGTTCACTTAAAGTGGGAACTAAACGTCTTTTCCAACTTCAGAACTATATACAGTCACAAAGATTTGTTTATTACACAGAATCTGTGGCATAATCACACACCATAATTATATCAGCATCACTTGGCCATTGCGTTGGGCTCCTCTTCAATGCATCCTAGTGTTGTCTTGCACACATCCAGTCTGTTTTTCTTCATTAGCAACATGCATATATATAGGAGGTGTTGAATTTAATCTTTAGCTCCTTGCATTCTTTCTTATGTCAACAGGTTAAGTAAAAATATGAATATGCAATATAGGGCATAAATTTATCAAAACGCTCCTCTTTATAGTTACTTTTTCTAGCTGACTGATGAGCTTATGGACGCTGAATGGTTATTCTGAGGTAAATGTTTTGTTACGTGGCATTGTTTACAAGCTTTACACATTTTCCGGAGTTTGAAACATTGAATGTTCACACCACAGCAGTAAAGAGAAAGCTTTGATATGTTCACGTGCCGTTTGAACTGAGACAATAAAGCGATCGCTCATGCTACATTAAAGAGCACCAAAACTGTATTTATTGTTTGAATTCCGTTATGAATTTGGCAGAATTTTAAAGCTCATACTTTGTTTATTAAAAGATAACAGCACAAAGCTTGTGATTATTGGACTGCAAGTGCGCTACAAATAATATGAAGCTCACACATTAACAGAACACAGCATTTAGACTAAAGATCTTGATAACAAGAAGCCATATTAGTATCAGTTATAAACGAGAATTGTTAACGATATATTGTTAATATTCACACAGCTGACAGCTTTACCTGTTGTAGTTTGTTCAAGCTGTGCACGAAACAGACACTGCTTTTCTGCACTTTTACTTCGCACATCTCCGTCATTTTTGATCTCTCTCATGCTGCCACAACTGGAGCTGCTTTTAGCTGCTGTTCGGCAGAGATGAGGGCTGTTTGAAAGTTAGTTTTTTTTCACTAAAACTTTGATGTGCATCGTCTCAGTTTATTACGTCAACATAGCAAAGATGCCATCACAAAACAAATAGGAAAAAGGCATTAGATGCAAATTTTTAAGTCATAACATGTAAATTTAACAGTGGCAACCTCAGCAAAAATATCACTAGCAAATTAATATTTTTGGTCGCAAATGCGATCGTTTCAGGCGCAGTCTGGAGCCCTGACAAAGCATTTTGTCTGCCGTGTTGACATGAGAAACTTAAAATACAACATTTCTGGTAGAATTATATAAATATAAACTGGAAAATTTCATATACGCTGCTTTCTGTTGATGTAGTAGTTTATTCTTGACCAAGCCTTTCAACAATGCACTGGCTGATGGTACCTGACACTGCTTTTCTGTGCTGGGCGTCTAGAGCCTGGTCGATTTCATCAAACAGGTAGAAAGGAGCAGGGTCACATTTCTGGATGGCAAAGATGAGAGCCAGAGCCACCAGAGACTTCTGACCTCCAGAAAGCTGCTGCATCTCCCTCATCTTGAAAAGAAAACACCCAGCCAGTTTGTTATGGACTGTCTGAGTCTGAAACCGTGTCAACCAGCGAGCTGTTTCAATTTGCAGATTTCTACGTAGATAGCTAGTTATTTAAATAAGACCACCTCCGAGCCATACAGAGTCCAAGGCAGCTATTCATGCATCTTGTGTCAACACATACCCGAATGTAAAAACATTTTTGTGAGCAAATCTAAAAATGTTCTGAGCAAACACAAAATTTCTAGGGGCCATTGTAGAACGTTTGCAAGCGAACAAAAACACTGAAACAGTTTCCATATAGTTTCCAATAGACTTACATCTCTCATTTTTTCAATCCCCATGTCCCCTTAGTAGTTCCGCAGAATAAAACAGTAACAATCTGATCATAGATTAGGATCAGCTTAGTTTCCATATAGTTTCCAATAGACTTACATCTCTCATTTTTTCAATCCCCATGTCCCCTTAGTAACAGTAACAATCTGATCATAGATTAGGATCAGCTCCTAATGATCATTTTGCAATCTACAATTATATGTAAATTTCTTTCACACCGAAATCACTTAAATGCATGTTACGCCATAATTCCCACTTTTGAACCTGCAAGAGAAAATTCCAGAAGATAGCTAAAGAAACACACACAGAAATGGCACAATTCAACCTCCCTATGTTTATCTGGAGAAACAAAGTCAAAAAAAAGGAAAAAAAAAAAAAAAAAAAGAGCATGGGGTAATGAAGAATGAGTCACCTCTGTGTAGGAGGACTGACACACAATAGAGCCCCTGACTGGAGCGGTGGAGAGAAAGGAGGAAGATCAACTAAGACAGCGAATATGAGAGCCAGGTGGGAGGGCTGCGAGACTGGAGGAGGATGAGATGGAAAAGTAAAGCCAGACATGAGTGGAGAAGGAGGCAAGAGGCTTCTTCAAGGGTACACCGTCATGTCGTGGTCTTCATACAATTAGGTAATATTTGTTAGTTAAATAGATTATTGAATTTCTGTACCTGAATATTACTGTTAGACCTACCTGAAAAACTTAAAAGCACTGTTAATTTAATTAGTATCTTGCTTTTGTATTTGTTTGTGCTATTGCTTGTCATTTATTTGTTATTTTATTACTGACCGTTTTTGTGTCTTTAGTTAAAATAAATTA